AAAAAAACTGGTTCTGATAGTTAGAAAAAATAGTTCACAATTCAAAGGCATGGCTCCTTTTTACTGTAGTAGTTGTTTAAATTTTAAAAATTGACTTAAAAATTGTTGTTTATAATAGAATGTTTGACTATAGTTACAATTACTTTTAATTAAAAATTTTAACAATGTTCTTGTATACTTCGTTTTTGATGGTTTTTATAGGATAATCTCACGTTTATGTCTTGAGAAAGGAAATAAACATTTCCGAAAGCTTGACAACAACACAGAGTGTTCTTATTACATTAGCCCTTAGCACTATTGACTGCAATCCCAAATACATCACTGGTTTTATATATATATATTATAAAATAATTCTTTTAGATAGAACAATTTTTTAAAATAATCAAAAGGCTGACAGTGAAAACAAGATAATTAAAATATGCCTTCAATAAAAAAGGTACCAAGATTTTGTTAGATGTCACGCTCACAATACATTTTTTTGGCCATTATGGAAAATTGAGGATATTTTCACTCAAAGTCAGCAAATGAGAATGTCATAAGCTTATTCTAAATTAAAAAAATAATTACTTAAATGAAAAATAGGACATCTTTTTTGTTAGAAGTAGTAAATGTACTTGTTCAATTTGCAAAATAACCAACGATGCCGAAATTCTAAGGTTCCCAATAATAGTGACCACCACTATTTCCGCCATTGATTGACATATTTGTAAATAAAATTTTTGTCCATAATTATGGCAGTTAAATCATTAGCTCAAGGTTCAACAAAATGCATCAAATATCTTAGAAAATATAATAATTGTCTATCTGTATCTCAAAAACGAAATGACCCGGGACAGATATTTATAGGGTAGTATTTCATAGATTGAGATCTTCTATATTAAAGTTTGTCGACAATAATTTGGCTCACCTTCAACTACAGGTTAGGTTATTTAAAAATATATTTACCTACCTAAACATAAACATAGCAACCACACAAAATCGAGAAAAATAAATGAAGACAGTATTCCATTTGATCTGTGGACGACGAGCTAACGTAATTATTGTTAAAGTATAAAAAATACCTGTAGGAAGTATCCTTGACCAGGATAGAGAAAATCGATAAAAATCAACGCTTAATTCTTTCAACATAGCCACATCTTCTTTGTACTTGTGATAAGAGTCACAAGCTACATCTGCATTGGCGTTATTAGCAATTAATTCAGGATTAGAGTGTGTAAAACGATCACAAATATTTTCACCTTTGCCGTCTTCATTCCATGCACCTAGAATAACGGATTTATTTTTATAATTAGAGAAAAACCTGAAAATAAGCATATAATGTTTCATTTCACTTTTGATGAGGTGTAAATAGCCATATATTATTTTTAATTATTTCGTTTTACTATTATACAAACATTGTAAAATTATTATTAATATACAGGGCGATTCACAACTTATCCAAAAAAATTTGGGAATACATGCAGCATGAGAAATGGAAAAAATATCGTAAAACAAATTTTTGTAAAATCCTTATAGTTTCCGAGAAAAAAATATTGAAGTTATAGAACATTCAACCACTACATAGCTGGACAACTGTAGTCTCTAGCGTCATTCGCCACGTGGGCTCAGCGACTCCGAATACTGAATTCGGATTTTGCAATCGTCGTTGCGATATTTACTTGTTATCTGTGGTGATTACAACAGGTTTTTAGTAGTTAGTGTCAAAAATGGGTAATTTGTGTCAAAAATGGTTTGCGTGTACTCGGAGTTGATGGATATCGTTTTAATTTATGGTGAAGCATTTGTGTTATGGTGAAACAAGACATTAGCGTTAGTTCGTAGAAACTGAGTACAACGGACCCAAATGTGTTTACACATTGGTGGATAAAATTTTGAACAATTGTTGTAACATCGGGTATGTCAAATGATTTTATTATTTAAAAACACAAATTAATTTTATTAATTAATAAAGGCAAAAGCATTTGAATTTGCCGATATGAAATAGGTGCGATAAAATTCTATTTACATATTTCTTTCCTTGCGAAAGTTTTTGTCCGTTTTTATCACACCGCCATGACGGTCGCATTGTGCGAGGTCAGGTTTTACACTGGACCAGTTTCCAGTGCCGTGCAGAAGTGTATTTTTAAATCATTTTCGAACTGCCCTTTTTGATTTTTTCTTTACAAAATTGTATTTGTAAGGGTCCCCTGTACATCCAGATTTTTTTTTTTGATAAGTTCTGAATCACCCTGTATATTTATGTAGAATATTTTTAGATTTGAATAATTTTCTCTATTGGTACAGGGTGTACAAATTACTGGGGCTTTTCTTATGTAACTTTTCATTTCGGAGCCCCATTTTCAAAATACAGGGTGTCAAAATTAAAATTTAAGAAATGATATAAATAATTTTTATTGATAACTCCGGTGATTGTAGAGATATTTAGTCGGCACACAGAATAAAGCGCCGCTTTATCTAAAAAAAATATATTCGGAAAGCATAGGCGTACTCAAAAAAATAGGGGGTCCGTTCGCTCTTTGTTATTATAAACCAAGATTACACAAAAAGTGTACCGACTTAAAATGTTTGCTAAATTTCAAATAAATATCTCTATCATCTAAATATCAGGCCCCGGAGTTATCAGTAAAAATCATTTTTTAAGAAAAGTCTCATTACTTTATTCTAAAGAATATGTGGTTAACGGGTTCACCTACTAATTTGTAACACCCTGTATATTTAAACTTTGTGTCATATTCGAAAACAGATAAAATGAAAAGATTTGATCGCCTAATATCAAATCAGTTCATAATATATTTGAATGTCATGATCTTGAATTTTTAAAGGAACCCCGATAAGCATAGTGTATAATTACATTTAGATGCTTGTATGGTCCATAATAATTGTTCATCAGGAGGTAGTTAGAAGATATGTAATTCTAAATATATTTGTTTTATTTTATTTATTTTTGTAGTCAACTAATCTTAAAACAATAAATCTTACCCTCTATCTGATAGGCAGATGTGGCTGCACCAAACAGGAAGTCTTCAGGAAAAAGCTTATTATTAGTCTCATTCTGTGCTATGCTAAAAAAATTTTCAAATATCAAATTAATATCGGTGATTATCATTGGCTTGTGTTTTCAAGCAACGTTTGAATATTCATTTCTATTCCACGTTTTGGAGCAGTTCAGTTAGTTGTGGTGTGTCAATGTGAGAATTTTAAATATGTACAGGAATTATATTTTTAATTGAGCTGGTTGGGCTTTGACTTCTGAAAAAGCAGTATAGCTATAAATGACATCTATTATGTGACTGCTTTAATAGATATTTTTTTTATTGAAATACTTAATTAAAAGTTTACTATGTAAGAGGATGTATTTTGCAACTCACCTAATAGCAAACAAACAGCAACATATAAAACCTCTGAGAGACATGTTTGATACTATTAAATGTTTCGGATTGTGGTCTATATATATATGTGTTCATATTAATTTACTACAAAAAACAAAATTACAAGTGCTCTTAGTTTCAAGTAGCTTTTATACATAAAGCGACATTCCTTAAACGTGTAAAAATATGTATTTACATTATTTACCATAGTAAGTACTGAAATTGATTAAATGGAATTGATTATTATCAAAACACTAGGCTAACGAGTGAATTATAGAGTAAGAACAATAAAGGGAGAGTATGTCTAGCAAAGTGATAGAAAATAATCCTAACACCTAATTTATAAAATTTAAATAGGTGACAGATTACTTGTTTTAAGTAACACATTGTTTGTATTGTACGGAAAATTATACATACCGCTAAGTTTCATTTTTATAAGTGGTTGTTGAGGAATATCTCTTAAACGATAAATTGATATCAAATTCAATTTATTGTATACATTAAGGGATGCCAAGCATCATTTCTCGTTCACACTTCGGTTTTAATCTTCTGCAAAAGAAGCCTTTAAAAATGTTTTATCACTCTATTTTAAGAGAATTAGAAATGCTTTGTTGTTGATATTATGTAAAAATATCTAAATTGTTAATTTTATTGCAAAACTTTAATGGATGTCTCTCAAGTGTATTGGCTAAATTTAACATATTAATAAATATTAAAAAATCACTTCGTATACAAAGATACTCTGAAATATGTAATATTTTTAATACGACTAACAAAACTTGACATTAATTTCATGTTTTCTTTACAAACATAATCACAAAACATGTTCACAAACAAAATGAAAACATTTTGCTTGTGAGGGGCTCGTGCTGTAATAATTACGATAACCATAACGTTATCTTGTTTAGAAAATTATCAATGTTTTCCATAATATCCATAATGCCACGTTGGTATTTCAATTAAAATTGTGAAAAATTACGCGTCGAAATATTGTAGATCATTAGATAAGTACTTGTTCAAACTTTATTAGAGATTATCTTAGACAAATTGGATGGTGACGTAAAAGCAGCTTAAATTGTTGTGATAAAGTTTATTTAACCGTCAAATTTACAAACTTTTAGGAGACAATAATCGAAATTTTTAATGTGAATAACTTATATAAGTCAAATATCTATTAGGTTATTATTTTTGGCAAGATCCACTAAGCAACGTGTTTCGACAACTTTCTTATAGTAAGCAACATAATCCCTTGGTATTCTTGCGCGATTGGTGTTACTGAAGTCTACATGGTAGATGCCGAATTTTTGACTAAAAATTAAAGTATTTAAATTTATTTTGTTTAGTTAACAATTTATATAGGGTGTTTCTAAAAGTCTGGGTATAATTCCATTACATATGCCTCGGGTCAAAATATGATGATCTAACCCAAGTTACCTTAGTTCTAAATTTAACATTGTCCGAGATATAGGTTGTTGAAGTTACAATTTTATTTTACTTTTCACTTCAGTAACAACACATAAAACTTCGTATGTCGGGTCGGAGTTTTCTGACATCAGTAACTAAAACCTGGTATCGAATTATTAGAGGGCACCACCTACAGTACTATACATGCGTTTAAATTGTCATAGCCTTATGTGCCGTGGTGTACTGAATTTTGATTTTCCGACATTTCTCCTAAAAAAGGCATACTTGATAAATGTCGTTTTCAACAACCAGTTTTTGGATATCTGGATTTAAAAGTTTCATTTCATAAACTCGCCATTGAATTTATATCAATTTTATCCAGGTTTAGGACAATTTTTTTGTAATTTTTATTGTTTTTGGCACGTTGGCTTCCGTATTCCTGTCGTTATTGACCAACAGATCTTTAGATTTTTTTATTGTCTTTTAAATATAAAAAAAAACAGTTATTCAAAACGACATTAACTTTTTTTTGAAATAACGTGGGAGAATAAGATTTTTTAGTAAAAATTCAATACAACTGGGTGCAAAATAATAATAATTTGCAGAAAATTTGAGACCAGATTTCTATTTTCCATGCCAGAAAATAGGATTATTTGAGCAATGTCAGAGATACCATGGATGATGGTGTCAAAGTAATTGGCTACACAGCGTGAAGTTTGATGGACAACTTTGAATGGATGCGTGGATATACGTGAATATATTGTAACGAATTTGAAATGTTCATATAGTAACTCATATGAAAATATTGCCTGACCGAACTTAAAGTCGTATAAAAATGTTCATTATTATTATAGCAACACCAAATTTGTATAAACCTGTTCTTAATTAAATTGTTAAATTGTTGTTAATATATATTGTTAGTGGTATTTCGTTTATTATTAACTCTCCTGAGGACTTTTACCTAACAGTGCAACGGCGGAATTGTGTCTACTGCTTTTCGAAGAGGCTACATACTTGACTGTTCTGTATGACTATAATGTGTATACATTCATTTGTATCTATATGAATTACGAATTTGGTTTTACATAGCCAAAAAAAAAAAAATAGATATATAGGAAATTATTACTTATAAGCTAGTATAGGTACCTAGTCTCGATTTCTACATGTGTGCAGGTTGTACACAATATACTGGATACAGGATGTACATAGGAAAAGATTTAATGCACAGGTTGTGTAACATTTAATGTACAGGATGTACATAGGTTAATGTTTAATGCATAAGTTGTGTAACATTTGATGTACATGATGTACCTAATACAAGAGTTAATGTACATGTCATGCATGATATAACAATTGACGTATAAATCGTACGTAGTGTCATATGATGCGCAGAATACACGACAAATATAGTGGATAGAATATTCATCCGACCAATATTACTCTATTCACTTATACTGTAGTTGTTAATAATTATGCATGATATTCTTGACTGCGTTGTGTACAGGGTATATGCAATAATTCTTTTTGGAGATGTTATATTCCTAATTATTTCAAATGGATGAGCCAAAACAACTTGCTTGGTACTGTCATATGTGGTAGGTACCTATTTATCAGGGATATGTTGTCCTTTAAAACTTGAACCATGGGCAGGCACCGAAGTTGTAGGAGTCCATCATCTGAACGAAATAGCCGGAAGCGGTCTAAATGTGAGAATAGAACTTCAAAGGACAGAAGTTCTCGGCCAGAGCGAACTGAAATATCTAGAAGTCCCCACCGTTCTCTTATACAAAGTTCACGTAAACCATCTAATACCTCAACGGACACTAGATTAGAACTCCTGGAACAATTAGTAACCAGATTATCAAGAGGCGACAGCTATGGTACTGACCATCGTGAACAACCTTTACGAAATAACGTTAAATCCGATTGCATCCCTATATTTGAACCTGGAAATTCCAACAATCAGTCCGAAAAATGGATCATGAAAATAGAGCAGTTAGCCAATACCTATTAACGGATGGGATGAGAAAACTACTCTCTATCACATGCAAAATCGGCTAGGGTTGCAAAAAGTTGATATAACGGTCTTCATTTTTATAACTTGAACTGGCAAGAGTGGAAATCCTTGATTACAACAACATTTCCGTCTCCTCAATTACGCAACTCAGCTGAAAGATATGCTTCAACGGACCAAGATGCCAAATGAGTCATGGGATAAATTTTATTTAAAAAAAATTGAATTGATACAGGCTTGTGAAATTACTGGAAGAAAAGCAGTATCATGTGTGACTGATGGAATAATAGACCAAAACGTGAAGACTGGCGCTAAGGCAGGGAGATATTTGACACCAGCTCTTTGAATAACTTATAATCCTCCCTTCTGGTTTAGGTACCCTTAATACTTCGAGTCGATCTACATTCAGTAGTGCAAACAGAAAACATTTTACACACAGCAAAACATACCAAAAGAACAAACTGAACCCTGGTTTGGAATGTTGTAATTATCAAGAAACAGGACATCCGTATTTGTGTCCTAGACGAAAATGCTTTAATTGTAATCAGGTTGGTCACACTAAAGAAAACTGCGATAAGAAGCCCAAGTCGGTATTAACATGTACAAATAATAACAATTCCAGTGGATGTTACGTCATCAATTGCAACGTAAACGGAAAAACCATGAAGGCATTTATGGAACACGGAATGTTCGGCTGTGATAATTAGAAATGAAAATGCTGAAGATGCTGGGTTATCCTGGACCCCTACCACTATGATGCTCCATGGCTATAATAATGGGATAGCCACTGTAGTGGGACTGACTACCTTAGGTCAGAGGTCAGAATTGCGAAACTTATTTTGTAATATTTTACTTTATAACAAGATGAGTACCCAATCATGTGTTAATCTACTTTTTTCGGCTATATCTTGTTCTTTTTTCTGTAAAATATCTATTCACGGGTTGAATTTTGTAAATCTGATTTCGGATTAGTGATCAGAATGTGTTATTTTTTGAAAATTTGGTCTGCCGCCATCTTGAATTTTGCAAAATTGACCTCGAATTCGTGATCAGCGACCCCGAAAACCCCCTTATACCAAATTTGATGCAAATCTGTTATTTTTTGAAAATTTGGTCGGCCATTTTGGATCCGCCATCTTGAATTTTGCAAAATTGACCTCGGATCCGTAATCAGCGACCCCGAAAACCCCCGTATACCAAATTTGCTGCGATTCTGTTATTTTTTGAAAATTTGGTTGGCCATCTTGGATTCCTCATCTTGAATTTTGCAAAATTGACTTCGGATCCGTGATCAGCGACCCAGAAAACCCCCGTATACCAAATTTGGCGCGAATCTAATTGTTTGAAAATTCGTGATATCTGACTTAAATTGACCCGTTTCAGCTTAAACGTGTTAATTCGCTGGTATAGGCGCCATTTTGAATGCGCCATTTTGAAAACTTGTAAGGCGTACATAATATTAGGTAGCGTACTTGCACGTTGCACGTTGAACGTTTCTAGTTAGATAGCATGAGCTTAACCGCAATTAAATGGCGTTATTAGCAGATCTTGACCTAAAATCGAGTTATTTCACTGATATAAGCGCCATTTTGAGGTTGCCATTTTAAAATTTGTGCAAGGAGCACGTAAAATTTGGTAGAGCACTTCCGTATCAATGTTTTGTGTTGAATAACACTAGCTCATACACCGTTAAATGGATTGCAACAGGTTTAAGCCAAAAATTTTGGTATTTCGTTGAAAAATTCAGAGGGCATGGAATTTGGTAACTCCCTACCAGACAAACATTTTTTGTTGCATAGCTAAATTTTCGTCATCATCGTTCCTTTTTCAGTAGCACTTCTGTCAGGAGGTCGCCAAAACTCATGGATAGTAGCCGCCATATTGCAACCGCCATCTTGAAAATTAAAAAGCGCCACACGGCTTTCGAAAGCGCTCATCTCAACGAATTTTTTAAGCCGTCGTGAGATTTTTTTGACCGATTCAATTTTTGTACTAGCGGGTGGCACGGTTGACGCGGATCGTTCCTAATACATCCCTAACAGTAAAACAGACACAACCAAGAAATCAAGAGAATGTGCTTTTAGCATAAGTTTTTGTCTAATATTATCCTTATAGCATACTTTTGCGACTGTATCTCCTAACTATTGGAGATAGATACACCAATTTTCTAAATCGTTGAAAATGCTGGTCAATTTTAGTTTTCTTTTTCAAGTAATAATAATAATATTTACGGATCAGGTAGTAGGTAATAAAACATGTTCCATAAAGTAAAATATTTACAGTAAATTAATAAGCAATATTGCCTATACTTAGGAGTTATGGAATTTGAGATATTAATATTTAAAGAAAAAAATTGACAAATACAAGGGTCCGCGTACTTATATGCTAGTAACTATTTTCAGGAGCGTGATATCAAGTAGGTTTGTGGTACCTGTAAAGGCATAGGTAACATTAAATTATAGTATACCAACAAATTAAAACATTTAAAACTAGGTGTTTCATTATTGCTGTTACATTTTGATAATTTCAAACAGCTATAACTTTGTTAACTTGAACGGAACATCCTGTATTTTTTTACTCTGTCGTATGCAAATTAAAATTTCCTTTCAAGCCATATAAGCATTGTTAGGGTTGCCGTTCCTACCTTTAGAGATGTTTGCAATTTTCTACTTTTTGGACAGTTTTTCTCGTATCAGATGTGTTGTCAAATTGGCTATTGGACAGAAACATGAAACATGGAGTCAATATCGTAAAAAAATAGTAAAATTCTTATAGTTTCCGAGAAAAAAATATTGTTGTAGTATTTACATCTCTTGTATCGCTGGACTATTGTAGTCCCCAGCGTCATTTGCATTGTGCGCTGTACGCCATGACCTCTCTCTCCACGTGGCCCCAGGTGATTTCGAATACTGAAATCCGATTATATTGACGTTTTTACGATAGTGTTTACATTAGTCTTTCAAGTGTCAAAAATGGCAACTATTTTTAGTTATACTTGAAAATAACTGTAAAACAACAAATTTTTACACTCCCCAAGTGACTACCAAAAAATTGGTCTCGATAACTTTCTTGTAGTAGTCTTTTGAAGGCACGTTTACAAACAAAGTTATATAAAAGTATAAAAATTCAACGGCATTAATGTTATAAATATTAATTAGATGATACATAACTTTTTATGGGTTTCGTAAAAACAACTACCTTTTCACATATTCATTTACTTTTATGAAACTTCATGTATTTTTTAATTATTAGTTCTTGTTATTTTTCTTTGTATAATCTTGTGTCTATTCAAAATTATCTACAGGCTGTTACAAACTCGCTTCTCACTACAGGGAGATCGGGCAAAGTTGCGTAATCAGGGAAAATGATAGTATCACAATTTCTAAACGATATAAAAACATTAGGAAGACAGTGCAATATGCAAGCCTACCCTGGTTACAATATGTAAGTTTTCTAATACTCTTGATATTGTGGGAAGCAACTATTCTGTGTTAAATTGCATCCCCAATATAGCTAAAAATATTACGGTATGCAGTCTCATCCAAATATATGCAGGTAAGACGCTATTCCTTATGCCTTTTATAAGTGTATGAAACAAAAGTATTGACGGAAAAAATGGCACTGAATTTATTTTCCTATTAGTCAAAAGGTGTATGTACGTATAAATCAATTAATTTTTCTTCAGTTATTTCCGTGAAGATCTTTTCGAGTCATACTAACAAATAAAGGATTCTTTAATATTATCATCTAACTCTAAAAAACTGCGTTTTTTCTTACTGTACTAGTGGATATTTTACTCATGATCGGCACATACTTATGTCATATGTTAGAATCTATAGACAATGGTAAACTCGACATTCAAAAAGACATCTGAAGTTGTTAATCAGAAAATATGCCTCCTCAGAAAACATTACTTTCTGTTAAGAATTACTTTTCAAAAATGCTTCGGATCTGATTTACACTAAATCTGCTAAATTGATGTTTTTACTGTATATATTTCTTAATTAATTTTTTCTTTTAAATATATACGGTATGGACTAAATACCTATAACAACCAACGTAATAAGAAAATATCATTCACATTAATTATATATTTTGCATGTTATTATCTTGTATGATATTTTACTTTCCATTAAAGAAATTTTGTTTACACAATTTTTACTTCAATTAATTACATTTTTAATTTTACTTTATTTCATACTTTGGAAGGTTCCCAACAATTTTTAAATATTTAAAGGTATGACTTCTACTTTCAAAATATTTATAAAATTTTATAATTGATGGATTCTTTTGTAATTAAAACTATAATTTGTATTTTTAGTTTTATTTGAAAGTAACTACAAAACAACATATCTAAACATTATTTTGTTTATTCCTCACAAGTGTCTACTAAGCAATGGGTCTCGACAACTTTTTTATAGTAAGCCACAGAAGTTTTGGGCGTCCTAGTCCTATTAATGTCATCGAAATCTACATGGAAGAGACCGTATTTTTGCCTGAAAAAAGAGAAATGAGTTATATTGAGTAAAATAATTTATATATTGCTTATTCCAGAAACTAAAACGGTTTAAATTATTGAATTATAATTTTATGCAGTTGCTTTATAAAATAAGTGGTATTTTGTTTTGTAAATTTAATATAAATAATGAGAAATATAAAATTTTTAATAAATGAAACAACAGTGAATTATAAACATTAAGGTTTTGAGTGTATTGATAAAAATATTCGAAAGTTGGTGAATTTAAAGCATTTTTAACTACAAATTATATCGGTAATATTCACATATTTATAAAATTTTGAAGTGGCCGTTATGTTTGATTAAGTTTATTTTATAGTCGAATGTAAAGTTAATTGTAAACACTGTGGTTTTGAAGTATTTGTACTTGCTATGTTTCAAGCAACTTACGTGTAACCATATTGCCATTCGAAGTTATCCATAAGACTCCATGCAGTGTAGCCAATTACATTCACTCCATCCTCTATAGCACTTCTTACATTGCTGAGATAATCCTACAATTGAACAGTGGCGATAAAATAAATTCAAAACGATTATTATTTGAAACATGCTAAATTGTATCCAATTAAACAAAGAAATTATTTATACATTTTAGAAAAGTTAGTTTGGGATCAGTCTAATATCGTAAAATGTTGAAAATCAGGTGAAATACCGACTTTCAACGATTTAGTATTATTAAGTAAATGCAAGTCATAGACTACAAATATATTACTCTGTAGTAACGGACTCTCTGATCATCTTCTAAGGTGGAACCATCATCTACGACACCATTCTCTGTAATTATAATTGCTGGATTGTTGTATGTCTCCTTCAACCAGTTTAAAAATTTTCTTATTCCCCATGGAGTAAGCTAAATTTATAAAGAAAAATTAGATGAACAAGAATATTAATAAAAGTAATAACAAATAATAATATCTACTCCTATGTCATGTAAAAAAGTAATTGGTTTACTGTTTAATTTTTGCAATCCATTATTAAAAAAAAAATACCCTCAACCAAGGAGCGGTGCATGCCTCCCAATCATCTGGTTGGTAGGTTTTAACACCCAAATCGTAATTGTAGTTTGGGTCTCCGATTGGTACTTCGTCCATAGCTTCTACTAGGTACGAAGTATACATATTGGTACCCATGAAATCGAAAGTGCCGCTAATGTAAGAGATTTCTTCGTCGGTGAATGATGGAAGACGGGATCGGTTGAAGCCTTCAGCTAAACTACGTTCTGCAATGCGGGTCTTCATTATTTCTGGATAGTCGCTGTTGTAAATAGCATTTGCGTACCATCCATACTAAAAAGATATGTGATCGATTAATGTACTTACTTCAAAACTGCGGGATAATATGTCAATAATTCGATCTAAGGATTAGGCCCACTAAAATCATTTGCCTTATATTTGCATTGGTGGCGTTTGACATATTGAATCTAAAATCCCAGTCAGACGTTCTTTCAGGTGTGCGAAACCCAAATCCGCAAAAATCACAAAAATCACAACATGGGTAGTCACAAGATATTGAAGTTCAAAGTTTTTTGCAAATATCTCGCGTTCTATCCATCGGATATCAATAAAGTCAAGATTGGTGTAAGCTTCGGAGTATTCAGGTCCGATTTTACCGTAACCATACCTGTCGTTGCAACTTTTTCGGCAATTGCAGAATTTTACAGATTTTACAGAACCAGTTTTACAGATCTAATCTAATCTAATCTAATTCTCTACAACTTTTACATTGACTTCAAGAGCGTTCATGCATAGGAAGCGAGATATTCGGGAAGAACCGTTTTCTTTGGAAATTTTACCTTAAATATCTCGAAAAGGAATCTTATGGATGTCCGATGCATAGAACGCGAGATATTTGAAAAAAACTTTTACCTTCAACACCTTGGCCATATTGTGATTTTTGCGGTTTTGGGACAACTCAAACATCTGTGCAAAAATTTAGCTTGGAGGGAGTTTTGTCGCGGTTTTCTCCTATTTTTCGTTTAATTTCCTTGTGCTGTAATAGTTTCACTTATGTGTAGCCGGCCATCTATTTATTTTTCATACATCTGTGTTAAAATTATGAAACACTAAATAAGTTATAGATAAGCGATTGAAGAAACGTATTTTTATTTTTAACGTTGATTGATTACGTAACTTGCTTTTAAAAAACTCCATGGACAAAGTCCAGTCAAGTACATTGAAATTTCGTAACAAATAAAATAAAAACATACTAACTTGGAAATGTTGTTTTAAAGAAGGGTACACCTTGAAAAGTCTTCGTTAAAAATGTAGCTTAATAAAAATTAGTAATTATGACATGGTGCGGATATGGCATACCGTGAATGTACGAATAGAAGGAATATACATGAATCGTTTTCTATTTCGTCAGGCACCAAGTGCGTCAAGATTTAAAACACTCGAGGACGTGATGGACATTAGGATTGTCCTTTACATAGGCCGAGGAAAAATATATAAATTAGATGGAACGTGTAATTGTTAGACAAGTTGGTATGCCTTATAGCGTTGTTTGGTGTGCACTGAGAAAATAACAGATGTATCCGTATCATAGACAAATAATCCATGTTCTGCTACAACAAGACTTTTGCAACTGGCTACCAGCAAATTTTCAACAACACCAAGTCCTGCTACAAGTTTATAGTAAGACGATTGGAATTCTTTATTTCTAAAGTTCGTCTATTGAAAATTCTCATACTGCCCATTGTACAAATTTTAATCGTTGGCTCTCCATTAACGTGTAACAAAAGCCGGGACGCGCAGTAAATTATTTATTAGTTCTCGGAACGGATGGGCCAAAAAGTAAGATATTTCAGTCGTCACAAATTATCGGAGGGTTAATAGTTTTCAAGTAATAGGTCGCCAAGACCGTCCTTCGGAGAAATTTGCAAATATTTTTAACGAGTTCACTTAAACTGTCGGGGCCATGTGTTAAGCGTCTAGTATAAGAGAAAAATCGATATTTTTAATAACGCGCGAAACCACGAGAAGAGCGTAAAGATTCCAAGGCAGAATTAAATTAAAATTGTAAATTGATAGTAATTCGAAAAGAGAGTCATGGCTGGTTTTTCGGCGGATTTTCCAAGCTATTAAGAAGATATTAAATGACATTGACTAATCCGCCCCGTAATTGCTACGCGGAGTCACTGAGGAAGGCTAGGGTTACTAGGAAGTCACATAATTATTGATATAAATGTAAATTCAGTCAATTAGATAATTATTAATTTAATTATTAAAGCATCCCGACATTCAGGGTCCAACCAATAAGACAAGAACAGAAACTTCTGGACCCAAGAAATGGGCGTGTCGAAACGAAGTGTGGAATTCGAGAAAGATCTGCAAGAAAGGCAGTTCTTCCTTTGGTTTCACATTGAGCAGTCGACTTAGTTTTGAAATCTCGGGCTAATTAATTATATTTAATAATGGATAAAGTTTTTTCCAAATTTTGCTATGAATCTCGCATTCCCTGAATTTCGGTACGCTGTCGCGTATAAATAAATTAATGGATAATATTGTTCGAGCCGTTGTGTTGTCATTTTGTTTGTTTGTTTTGTTTATTGTTATTAAAGCCCTTCCTGGAAGTTTTGGTGTTTCCTTTTGTTTCCCAACTTCAGTGTCACCCTGTATAGCCAGCTACTGGATTACATTCCACGTAAGCGATGAATCGTAAGTGCTTGGAAGTAATTCTCTGAACATACAACATTTCTAAGTTCCCACGTATTGATTAAAGTATAATGATAATAAACTCCCTTTCGAGAATTAAATAGATAATTAATTAAAGGTAGATAATTAAAGAAATAACCCCTCAGGTTACAAACGTATGGGCTGGCATTGTGAATAATTTTTTAATAAGACTTTTTGTATTACCAAACAAATAGCACTTGTGTTTGAATTTTTTAGAAAATTATTTATCGGTTCTTCTTAATGATGGACCTCCCGATCTACGACAGGGAATATTTACATGATGGAGCTCCACCCCATTATTCTCTTACTTACATGAATTCTTCTTTAGTGGAATTCTTAATAGTTCGTTGTCGCAACTTAAGTTGTTGAGGCTTTTTCTGGGAATATTTAAAATACATTTGTACTGGATTGAAAAGTCAGTAATGTTGAAGAATTATCACTCACAGCTGCATCACGAACAACGTTTTTTATATGTGCGTGACACTTTAATTCGACGAACTCGCTTTTATGTTAATATAGTAGGTGGCAGCATCGAACATTGTGATGTGCCATGTGAGAATCAGAGGTGTATCCTCTCCAAAACGATCATCGTATCTATAATTTGTATAATGATGTAATTGCTTGAACTTACAGTGAATTGTAATGATCTTTCAGCAGCAGCTATATCTTCATCACTGTCAGACGCAGGTTCTTGCCAATTAGAATCAATAGTGATTGATACTTTTCCTGAAAACAATAATTATTGTACATATTTTAAAAATGGCAAATTTATTAACAACAAAAAATAAATAGTGAAGTTATGTAATTACAAGTTATTCCTCATCGTCTCGATTGAATCAACAATTTTCCTTTAAACATTATACTCCTCGAAATGCATAGCCTTCATAGCTTTATCGTTATAGGTAGTTACTTTGTCTTTTGTTAGTTGTCTACATTATTATGATATTGTATTTTTTCAGTTTAATTAGATAATATTTGTTTAGTTAATTCCTATACCTATAAATTAATTGTATTCATGACTTGTCTACAACTTTTGAAACAACAAAACTAATAAACATTTCCTAAACGTTTGTATGTCCAAACATAGAAAGTGTTGAAAATATCGAAATAAATGAGGCTAACTAAATTATCTGAATATAATTAAAATATGTACCATTCTGTGTAGCTCTAAATTCTTGATCATATATATGCCAAGCCCTAGCATGAGCCTTGAGTATATGGTGACCACATATATACTCCCCTATCCCTGGCGATAAAATTCCTGACACAATTGGGCAAATTTGCTTGGGTTCGTTAAATGTTAGCCAGTACTTTACGTCATCTCCAAAGAGTTCGAAACATAGCCTCGCGTATTCTACATAAGCTTCCACTACGAATTCACTTTTCCATCCGCCCAAGTCCTGTAAGGGTTGCGGCAGGTCCCAGTGGAATATGGTAGTTAGGGGCTCGATGCCGTTGTCTTTTAGTTCTTTGATTAGGTTCTTATAGTACGTCACTCCGGGAAGATTAATTTTATTTACAAACCCTAAAAATTAGAACATTATTAAATTAGAATGAGATACTTGTACCAAATAATACTACGTCTCTAATAAGGTCATACCCCCACCATTTTTGAAATGAAAGTTGTAATAATAAAATTTGTAGAGCAACCTTTATTAGAAATAAGATTTCTACTTCTCACAAACTGTTGGTTTCAAATTACTAAAAATTTAGATATACAGGGTGTCCGGTAAGTACCTCCTAATCTCTCGGGAGTGTATAGGGGAGGTCAAAATAAAACTAGTCCTTCCTATAATTTTTTTCCTAATGCGCTCCCTAACGGAGTTATGGGGGGTCAAAGGGGTACCTAGAAATTAACGTTTAGGGTTATAACTTTGAAACCACCCTGTATATTTTAATAAAATTTTCGTACGTTGTATTACACATGGAGCTCTACGATTTGATGCTAAAATCAACTTTTTGCTATTATCAGGTGTCCAGAAACGGACTGGCCCTATCACAATTTTTCTCAAAATTTTGACAGAAGTAATTTTATCAAACTGAAAATATTATTATTAGATACTCTGAAGGTTTTTCTTTAAAAATGGTACTCTTTATTTATTTCGAAAAAATGAACGGTTTGCGAGATAAATCGGTTTTGAAAAAAATTGGTAACAAATACAACAACAATTAAAATTTATTTTTTT